GCTCCCTTCAATCCCACACCTGGGGAACCTGCAGGTAGTCCCAGACTTACGACAGGATTTCTGTTCCGACAACTCAGTCGTAAGTTGGTTCTGATGTACGTAAGTTGAATATCTTATTTTTTTTTTTTTTTAGTTTTCATTATTATTGCCTTTTATTATCAGTATCTTTTAAATCTGATCTTTGTCTTTGGGTGTTGGCATGAGAATGATAACATCAGCAAATTCTGTGCTGCAACATTGTATGTATACATATTAAATGATTAGATGTATCAAAAAAAAAAAAACCACCTGACAGTCGTAAGTACAGTTCGTCGTAACTGGGATATGTCGTAAATTGGGACTACCTGTAGTTCTTGGCCTCCATCAACTGGAAGAAGATATAGCAAAAATTGCAACTTTCTTTTTTTTATTTTACTTTAGATGAAGGTTTATAGAACAAATAGTTTCTCATTACGCATATTGTTTTATGACATTGGTTAACAACCCCATGACATGTGAACACTGTCCCTTCTCGACTTTGGGTTCCGTATTACCAGTTTTCCTGTCCCCTCCTGCCTTCTACTACTTGTTCCTGGGCTGTTGTGCCCCATTAGTCTCGTTTTGTTTTATGGAGCTGTCTAATCTTTGGCTGAAGGGTGAACCTTGGGAGTGATTCATTACTGAGCTAAAAGAGTGTCTGGGGGCCATACTCTCAGGGTTTCTCCAGTCTCTGTCAGGCCAGTAAGTCTGGTCTTTTTTTGTGAGTTAGAATTTTGTTCTACATTTTTCTCCAGCTCTGTCCGGGACCCTCTATTGTGATCCCTGTCAGAGCAGTTAGTGGTGATAGCCTGGCACCATCTAGTTGTACTGGACTCAGTCTGGTGGAGGCTGTGGTAGTTGTGGTCCACTAGTCTTTTGGACTAATCTTTCCCTTGTATCTTTTCTTCATTCTCCCTTGCTCCCAAAGGGGTGAGACCAGTGGAGTATCTTAGATGGCTGCTCACAGGCTTTTAAGGCCCCAGACGCTACTCACCAAGGTAGAATGTAGAACATTTTCTTTATAAACTGTGTTATGCCAATTGAGCGAGATGTTCCCCGAGACCATGGTCTCCACAGCCCTCAAAAACTGCAACTTTTAATCCAGCTACAAAGTCTCTGGGCTGCTTTTAGGGTTCCCTCTGCTGGTCATACATGAAAGCAGAGGAAAAAGTCCTTCCACACTTGGTGGCCACAGGTAAAAAGGGTCATTTAAGAAAAGGCCAAGGAAGGCATTTGAGGTAAATGCAAAAGAAAAAAATCAAATAAAAACCTCTCTGCAGAGGCATCTTGGCTACGAAAACAAAATATTGACCATATTAAGACTAAAAAAACACAAAATCATCTTTCTTTGAGAATTCTGAGATGAAAAATTATAGGAAAAAAATTTCTTTCTGGAAGAAAGTGAAAGCTTGTTTTTGTTTGATTTTGTCACTGCAAATAAGGAGTTGATGCTTACATTTTTCAAATCTTAACATTTTTGGTCTCTGGGGTTTCTGAAAGGATTTTGATGATGCAATGGAAGGTGGTTATGGCAGTTCAGGGGCTCCTTCTGCCCCAAAGTCACTACTTTAGAAGCCTTTTAAAAGTAAATTGAAATAGGCAAGTGTATAGAGACCAAAGTTTATTAGTGGTCTCCAGGAGCAGGAAGGAGTCCCTAGGTGACACAAATGGTTAAGTGCTCAACTATTAACTGAAATGTTGGCAGTTTGAACCCACCCAGAGGCACCTCAGAAGACAGGCCTGGTGATCTGCTTCTGAAAGGTCACACCCTTGAAAACCTTATGGAGTTCTACTCTGCACACATGAGGTCGCCATGAGTCAGAATGAACTCAACGGCAACTAACAACCAGGGGCAGACTGGTAGGAGGGTAGGGGGTCAGGGAGCGGGACTCATGTTTAGAGGACACTGAGCTTCTGTTAAGAGTGATGGAAAAATCTGGAAACAGATCATGGTGATGGTTAAACAACATGATGAACATAGTTAATGTCACTGAATTGTATACGGAAAAAAATGTTAAAATGGCAAATGTTTTGTTACATACATGTTTACCACAATTTTTTTAAAAAGTACATTGAAATAAAATGTCAACACAATCATTCCTTCATGTGCTGCTCTTGTCCCACATCTGACTCAGCTTCTAGAAACTTAGAAAGTTACAGCTGGTAGAGACTTAGAAGTCTACATAAATTATACAGATTAAAATAATGGCCAGACTGACTTGCAAAGTTCTCAGCAAAGGCATGACTATAAGGAAGGTCTTCTGACCCCTACGCTGGGGCTCTATCCCCTGGACAACCCAGAATGGGACAATCCATTTCCTGATGTAGATGTTAATGGTATCTCTCACCCACTCAAGTTTCCTTCCCAGGCATCACGTGGTCTGGGAGATTAGGCAAACCTGAGGGGACATGTATGTTTGATTAAAGTCTACCTGATCAATGAACCTGGAGGGAGATGAGGAAAGAAATATTAGCTACTTAAAATATTAACAGGGCAAATCATGGAGGTTTTGTTTGTTTTATTTTTGGTGTTTGTTTTTTTAATTTTATTACTCTTTAGGTGAAAGTTTACAGCGCAAATTAGTTTCTCATTCAAAAATTTATACACAAATTGTTTTGTGACATTGGTTGCAATCCCCACAATGTGTCAGCACTCTCTCCCTTTCCCTTTCCACCCCGGGTTCCCCATGTTCATTCTTCCAGTTTTCCTGTCCCTTTCCGCATTCTCATCTTCGCTTTTGGGCAGGCTTTGCCAATTTGGTGTCATATACTTGATTGAACCAAGAAGCACATTCCTCACGTGTGTTATTGTTTGTTTTATAGGCTGTCTAATCTTCGGCTGAAAGGTGCATTTTTGGGTGTCCAGGGGCCATAGTCTCAGGGGTTCCTCTAGTCTCTGTCAGACTGCTAAGTCTGGTCTGTTTTTGTGAATTTAAATTTTGTTCTACATTTTTCTCTCACTCTGTCCAGGACCCTCTATTGTGATCTTTGTCAGAGCAGTCGGTGGTGGGAGTCGAGCATCATCTAGTTCTGGGTTCAGGCTGGTGGAGGCTGTGGTTCATGAGTTCCATTAGTCCTTTGGAGTAATATTTTCACTGTGCCTTTGGTTTTCTTCGTTCTCCTTTGCTCTGGATGGGATGGAACAAATAGATGTATCTTAGATAGCCACTCACAAGCTTTTAAGATCCCAGAGGCTACTCAACAAAGTAGAACATAGAACACTTTCTTTATGAACTATGTTATGCCAATTGACCTAGGCATCCCCTGAGACCATGGTCCCCAGCCCTCAGCCCCAGCAACTTGTTCCCTCAAGGTGTCTGGATGTGTCTAGGAAGCGTCTATGACTTTGCCTTGGCCAAGTTGTACTGATGTCCCCTGTATTGTGTGTTGTTTTTCCCTTTACCAAAGTTAATACCTGTCTACTATCTAGTTAGTGATTTCCCCTTCCCACTTCTCCCCTCCCTTGTAATCATCAAAGATTGTTTTTTTTCCTACGTGTAAACCTTTTCTTGGGTTTTTATAATAGCGGTCTCATACACTATTTGTCCTTTTGTAATTTTGCACTCAGCATAATGCCCTCCAGATTCATCCATGTTGTGAGATGTTTCAAGGATTCATCATTGTTCTTTATCATTGCATAGTATTCCATTGTGTGTATGTACCATAATTTGTTTATCCATTCATCTGCTGATGGGCACTTAGGTTGTTTCTGTCTTTTTGCTATTGTGAATAATGCTGCAATGAACATGGGTGTGCATATGTCTATTCATGTGATGGCTCTTATTTCTCTAGGATATATTCCTAGGAGTGGAATTGCTGGATCATGTGGTATTCCTATTTCTAGCTTTTTAAGGAGGTGCCATATCATTTTCCATAGTGGCTATACTATTTTACATTCTTAACAACAGTGCATAAGAGTTCCAATCTCCCCTACAACCTCTCCAACATTTGTTATTTTCTGTTTTTTTATATTCATGCCAGTAATGTCAGGGTGAGATGGTATCTCATGGTAGTTTTGATTTGCATTTCTCTAATGAGTAATGACCATGCACTTTTCTTCATGTGTCTGTTAGCTGCCCGAATGTCCTCTTTGGTAAAGTTGTCTGTTCATATAGTTTGCCCATTTTTTAATTGGATTATTTGTCTTTTTGTTGTTGAGGTGTTGAAGTATTCCATAGATTTTAGAGATTAAACCCTTGCTGAAAATGTTGTAGCCAAATTTTTTCTCCCAATCTGTAGGTTCTCTTTTTACTCTTTTGGAGGAGTCTTTTGATGAGCATAAGTGTTTAACTTTTAGGAGGGCTCATTTATCTAGTTCATCTTCTGCTGTGTGTGCATTTTTAGTTATGTTTGGTATACTATTTATGTCATGTATTAGGGCACCTAGCATTGTCCCTATTTTTTCTTTCATGATATTTCTAATTTTAGGTTTTATATTTAGGTCTTTGATCCATTGTGAGTTAGTTTTCGTGTATGGCATGAGGTATGGGTCTTGTTCTACTTGTTTACTGATGGACAACCAGTTTTGCCAGCACCATCTGTTAAAAAGACCATCATTTCCCCATTAAATGGACTTTGATCCTTTGTGAAAGAGCAGCTGACCATAGGTGGATGGATTTTGTTTTGTTTTTGCACTGAGTTACTTGCAGTTTTTTTCAAGGTCTTCCAACATGACTCATAAAAGGAGTACCTAATTGTGCCTTCAAGGCAGAGCATTTTTCCACATTGTAAATAACTGACTTACTACTTTCTGCCTGTCCACAAGAATATCACAGTATGATGTATCCATGGGGACAGTGGTGGTAGAATTCTCACTTCCCATGGGGGAGAGCCAGGCTTGATTCCCAGCCAGTGTACCTTATGCACAGTCACCACCCCTCTGTCAGGGAGGTTTGCATTTTCCTGTGATGCTGAACAAGTTTCAGCAGAGTTTCCAAAGTAAGATAGACTAGGAAGAAAAGCCTGGTGATTTACTTCCAAAAGTTAGTCAATGAAAACCCTGAGGATCACAATAGTCTGATCCCATGAGTCAGGTGCTGACTCTATGGCAGCTAACAACAACATGATGTAGCCATATAAATTATTTTTTATTTTACTTTGATGATTAAGAAAAGATACCAACATACAAGATTAAATGAAAGCTAGCAAATAACTTTAGAGGCAGTTAATTTGCTAATTGTATTAAAATAAAGAAATGTCTGTTTAACTAAAAAAAAATTTTTTTCACTGGCACGTTGCTTTGGCTGGGACCTTTGAACTTAAGGCAAAGTTGCTGATAAGAAAATAATCACCATTACCGCATCAACACTTTGCCACCTCATAAAGCACAAAGCTGCTGACCAAGGGGAGGCCCAGATGTGTAGATAAGCACTTCAGACAGTGTTTTGCGTGTCTCATGTGACAAAGAAAACAACTGGTCTAGAAATCCACGAAATCTCTCTTTGGAAAAAAATCCCTTTAACTAATGGCATATGTTGAAAACATTCACTAAGGCTTTGCACAGATACATTTCTCAGGACCAATGATGGTTCATTATACAGTGGCATGTGAGGTAGATTCTCTTTGCATTTTTAGACATTTCTATTTGTGCTTTAACCAAGAGGAATGTATGTCCCCCCTCCAAAATGTCTAGCTTCACATTCATATGTCTGGAAATGTCTCCCTGACCCCTGTCTGCAAGTCACAGATTCTAGCTCTTCAAATCCAGAGGAATGCTTTCTTCATCCACAAGCTGCTTTGGTTTCGATTGGCTGCGCAGCGTTAAGAAGGAATATCTCAAACCTCCTGCCATGCTGAAGGAAGAGAAAAGGAGTAAAATTAAATACCGCTGGGAATTTCATAGTGATACCACCAGTAGTCCCTGCCATGCTTAAAAATAAAACCAGAAACCAAACCAGTTGTTATGGAGTCAATTCCAACTCATGGCAAACCCACGTGTGTCAAAGTAGAACTGTGCTCCACAGAATTTTCAATGGCTGATTTTTCAGAAGTAGATCACTAGGCCTTTCTTCCAAGGCACTTCCTGATGGATTCAAACCACCAAAATTTCAGTTAGTAATAGTTTGCACCGCCCTGGGACTCTTCCTTTAAAAACACAGCTTAATTTGGAAGGAATTATTCAGACCCCTGCTAGGTCCCTAGGTGGCGCAAACAGTTTGCATTCAACTACTAACCAAAAGGTTAGCAGTTTGAATCCACCCAGCAGTACTGTAGAAGGCCTGATGATCTGTAAAGATTACAGCCAAGGAAACCTAATGGAGCACTTCTACTCTGTAACATATGGGGTTGCCATGAGTTGGAATCGAATCTACAGCAACAGGCTTGGTTTTTTTCTTTTTTTGGCTTTTTCTCCTCCAGTTTGTGGTTCATTTTATGAGAATTTCCTTACTTATTTACAAATCTTTGGGGCAGAAAAAGAGTGGCTCAGATCTAAAGCAGAATCTTGGAAAGAAAATAAGCACTTGGTTCTTATTGCATGAACTATATGACATCACCCTATAAAACTGGGTCCCAAGTCTGGGATCCCACAACGCTTTTCAAAAGTATCTTAGTTAATCCTCCCAGCATCCTTAGCATATGTCACAAGTTTAATGAGACCCACTTCACAGGAGAAAAGCAAATAACTTAGGGTGACTTTTCTGTGAGGAAGATCCATGAGTTAAATTCAGATCCCAGTCCCTTGAATTTGCATTTCACACATTCTCATGATCCACATGAGGGGATATGTCACAAAAAATAGACAAACTCAGTGATTTAGGTAAAATTATTTTACAAATCTCAATGTCAAAACACCTACTGGCTTAAAATGTGATATTTCTCTTTGCTCCTTTTTTACTTATTACATATTAATCAGGCTGTCTGGAATTCTTATTTTACTAAAATGAGTTCATTTAAAAATCCCACTCACCAAATATTTAACCCTACAAAGTTTAACACAGAGAAAAGGTAGTCTCCACCAACTAACATCCCAATGTAGGCAATGGATACATTCTGCAGAAAAAGACAGAGGATTAATTATTTTAGAAGTAAAGGATTTGGGAAAAAAATACATATATATGGTGAAATCTGAAATGAAACATTTTGGCTACTTTGCATAGAGACATGTACACAGTAAATTTTCATGAAATCCTTAATGAGTGAATAAAAAGCCATTATATATGGGTTTATAAAGAAATGAAATAAACTATAGTAGAATAATAAGCGAAAAGTGCATTATTCATTTCCCTCCTTTCAGGTTAGTATATAGAAAAAGTATCTAAGAGTTGGGTTGTAATCAGCTTATAAGGTCCCATCTCTTTACCATTACCAGATAGTAAATTTTAATCAGATTGATCCTGAACTAGAACAGATTGTTGTTGCTGTCGTTAGCTGCCGTTGAGTCAGCCTCTGACTCATGGTGACCCCATGCACAATGGAATAAAATGCTGCCCGGTCCTGTGCCATCCCCATGATCAGTTTTGGATCGAACCATTGTGATGCACAGAGTTTTTACTAACTGATTTTCAGAAGCAGATCACCAGGTCTTTCTTCCTAGTCCGTCTAGTCTGAAAGCTCCTCTGAAACTGGTTTAGCATCATAACAACATACAAGCCTCCACTGACAGACTGATGGTAGCTGCAGCAAGTGCATTGACTGGGATTCAAAGCCAAGTCTCCCACATGGAAGATGAGAATTCTATCAGTGAACCACTTAGACACCTAATAATTCCAAGCAATACTCTGTCCCATGGTATTCTAGGAGGCCTCTGGGCAGCCAACAGATAGGTCTACTGTTGAAGCAGGTAGCTTTTCTCATTTACTCTAGGAATTCACATGAATAGAAAAACAAATTAACTGTATAATAGAATTGGGAGCAACTCCATCCCCTATTTATTTATATGTGTGTATATGTACAGGTAGTCCCCAATTTATGATGAGGTTCCGTTCCTTGTAACTTGGATCTGACTTAAGTCGAATACCTCTTTTTTTTTTTTAGTTTTCATGGCCTGCTATACAGCAGTGTTTTGAATACTAAATTATAACACTGAACATCTGCTGCAAGTGAACATCTGAGAATGATAACATCAGCAAATTACACACTGCAACACTGTATGTAGTACGTATGACTAACAATAAGATATAAAAAAAATAAATAAGAGACGGTTTTAAGAGCAGTTTGTCATAACTCGAATATGTCGTAAGCCAGGGACTGCCTGTATATGTACATATGTATGTGTGTATGTATATATGTATGTATTCAAACACTTATTCATTCAAATACACACACACACAACATACACACAAATTTACCTAATAATTGGGTATATACAGTCAATTCTCATTCTCCACAGATTCTACATTTGCAAATTTGCCTACTTGCTAAAATTTATTTATAACCCCAAAATCAATATTGGTGGCACTTTTGTGGTCATTCCTATACACGTACAGAGGAGTGAAAAATTTGAGTCAACAAACACGTTCCCAGCTGAGGCTGAACAAGGCAACAGCTCTGCTTTCTTGTTTCAGCTCTCATACTGTAAGCACGTATCCTTTTCACTAAATAGATACTGCCACATTTGTTGCATTTTTGTGCTTTTTGTTGGTGATTTCACTGTTTAAAATGGCCCCGAAGCATAGTGCTGAAGTGCCGTCTAGTGCTCCTAAGCACAAGAAGGCTGAGATGTGCCCTACAGAGAAAATGCGTGTGTTAGATAAGCTTCGTTCAGACATGAGTTACGGTGCTGTTGGCCATGAGTTCAATGTTAATGAATCAACAATATATATTAAATAAGGTGTCTTTAAACAGAAACACACATAAAACATGATTATGCATTGATCGTTTGATTAAAATGTTGTGACCAGAGGCTCATGGGAAGAGTCCTCCCTGTATTTCCCCTAAGAGCAATGGTTTAATATTCACTGATTCAATGTCCACAGCGACTTTAAAGAACATAACTACGAAGAATAACAAGAATAGATTGTACCTAGATTGAAAACAGCTCTTCACAAGGGTCCCATTTCTTAGCAGGCAGATTCTCCCAGGAAACCGAATTGTAGATCACAAGGTATCTTGGTGATTACAGAAATTTGGATTTTTTTTTCAACTTTTTACTTCATTTTCCTAGACTATCCCCTCCCACTCATCCCAAATTTAAAGTTATAATTTTGTCTCCTCTTTTTAAATTAGCAAATTTTCCCTCCATTTTACTGATTAGGAGATTGGAAGTAAGACAGGATTGCCTGGCCCAGCTGGAAATGTCACAAGCCTCCATTCTACACCACTGACCAGAACAACAACAACAGTAAAACTCAGCTTCTATCAAAAATACTGAATCCAGTCAATTGTTCCAATTCAGCTATTCACTCCGAGGCTTCCATCCACTTACCTTGATGGCTCCCACGACCGCCGTCGTCAGAGCTGAGTTGTAATAGCAGCACAAAACTGTGGAGTACATCAGCAGAAACCTGAAGCAAACAAACAAGACCTTGAGTGTGTACCTTCCTGTGCTTGGTGAGAATAATAGGTGAGAAAGAGCCCACGAATGACCCATGTATACACACTTTAAACAAAAAAAAAACACATATCACATGAATGGATAAACAAAATGTGGTATACACATACAATGGAGTATTACTCTGCCATAAAGAAAAAAGGACTCTTGATACACATTACAGCATGGATGAACCTTGAAAACACTATACTGAGTGAAGTAAGTCAGACACAAAAGGGCAAATATTGTATGATCCTACTTATATAAAATATGTAGAATAGGCAAGTGTGTAGAGACCAAAGTTTGTTAGTGGTTGCCAGAGGTGGGCAAAAGAAAGGGGGAAAGGAAAATTCAATGCTTAGGTGACACTGAACTTCCATTACAGATAATGGAAAAATTTGGTAACCAGTAAGGGTGATGTCAAACAACATGATGAACATGATTAATGTCACCAAACAGTACACGTGAAGACTGTTGAAATGGCAAGTGTAATTAATGTTTTGTTACACATATATTTAGCAAAATAAAATAAATAAATAAAAGAAACGCATATCAGAAAGGTTCTTCTAACCCACATCTTAAAACATCTCCTTGTTAACTCTGACTTATACCAGGATAACGGTCCAGATGGGGATTAGCCAAATCCTCCCCTTAGGTGTGCTCATGTTGTCTGTTCAATTCCCAGTAGGTTTCCACAAAAAGGAGGTAAGGAGAAGGGGATTTTTTAAATAACCTGAAATACTTTAGTTTAACAGCTCTGTTACAACCATGGTTTTTAACCTCTGTGCATCAGAATCACTTGCTGTACTTTTTTAAAACACAATGGTGGATGTTTGCACAACATGATGAACATAATTAATGTCACTGAATTGTGCACGAGAAAATGGTTGTAACAGCAAATGTTTTGTTATTCCACCACAATAAAAAAAAATTAAAAAACAACACTGAATTGTACATGTAAAAATTGTTAATATAGCAAATGTTTTGTTATATACAGTTTTACTACAATACACAACAACAAAAATACAATAATGATGCCTGGCAGAGATTCTCATTCAGTTGGTTTGAGGTGGGGCCCAGGCTGGGTTGGGTTCAAAAGCTCCACAGGTGATTCTAATGTGCAGCCAGCACTGAAAACCAACGGCATTAAAAAGGGCATCTGCTGATAGATTGCTGATTTTGGAAAAAGGAAATTGAAATTAATGGAATCCCTATGTCAACACTCCAGTCTATAATACCCTAAATTTCTTGGCATAGAAGAGTGAGCGCTTTCAGCATTGCATCAGTTTGTAGAAATATCTCAATTGGTTTTTCATCAATTCCTGAAGCCTTGTTTTACACCAATGCCTACTCTGCAGCTTGGACTTCTTCCTTCAGTGCCATCAGTTCTTGATCATATGCTACCTCCTGAAATGGATGAACATTGATCAATTCTTTTTGGTACAGTGACTATGTGTATTCCTTCCATCTTCTTTTGATGCTTCCTGCATCATTCAATTTTTTGCTCATAGGAACCTTCAATACTGCAACTCAACACTTGAATTTTTTCTTCAGTTCTTTCAGCTTGAGAAGTGCCAAGCATGTTCTTCCCTTTTGGTTTTCTAACACGAGGTCTTTGCACATTTCATTATAATACTTCACTTTGTCTTTTTTTCTTTTTTTAATATTTTATTGTACTTCAGGTGAAGGCTTACAGAACAGATAGTTTCGCATGTAACAGTAACACACATGCTGTTTTATGACATTGGTTAACAACCCCACAACATTTTAACCCTCTAAAT